AATTTTGCACTTTAGATACCACTGCAAGATAGGGAATGATTCTACGGCCAGGGAGAAGCGGCATTCCCTATTCGTCACATATATCAGTGATACGCACTCGTAAAACATTACATAAATAAACTGGCTAAGAAAAGAACAATTCTAGAAATTATAGTATAATAACTCAAAACCCAGAACTAACTAGTTTGTGTGTATGAATGTTCGTTACATGACGCACGGTTACTAATTTTTTAGTAACCATGCATAACGTTTCCCGACGTGTGTCGAAAAGTATCAGTCGGCGGCGTCGCCCGGTGAATTTTAAGTAGCCAGCGACCGGGGTTGCTGTCTTCACGTCCATAGCGCAAGGGCTCCCTTCCAGGTTGGCATTCGGACGAATGTTAAACGCCGGGTTCGACTGTGGTCGTACTGCTCGTCAGCATTCAGGGTCGTGCAAAGTGTAGACCCCCTTTATTGAACAAGATTTCGAGCAGCAACGACCCTGAACTCAGTTTTAAAATAGTATAACGTCACACAGCTAATTGTGTCTATCGTTAATTGGCCCGCGGCACTTGTTCAATCACCATACGGATACTCGTACAGTTTTTCCAAGGGTCACAGCGAGGTCACATAGCAATTCGTACTTTCTATTCGAGTAGTGTCAAATGCGTCTACCGACTGGGCGCATAATAGCAATTGTGTCTTTTTAGCAATACACCTCGTGACATTGACTTTACCCAGACCAGGTTATATGTTGAAGCATACTTTTTCTCGAGGACTGCTCTATTGATATGACAATTTCGCGAGGAATGCTTCATTGATATGACAATTTCATTGCAAGAATTATTAATTTTTTTATTATTACTTTTCTGGATATTTCTGAATGTGTGAATAGTACAGTCGCATTTGAACACTAACAGATATTGAGTTCATAGAGCGCAAAAAATTGTTCATTGCCATTCCAGGTTGTTATCTGTTATTAAATGAATACAACTAGCAAGGAATGATGTATTGTTATAAGGTTATTACAGAAATGACGCAAAATATGCACTCAGGTTTTAAATTCAATTAAAAACGTGGGCTTTTAAATACTTGTGAAAAAATGGTGTTTGACGTTCGGCGGTTTGGAGAGTTTAAATAATATCTGAAATAAAATAATTTCCAAAAATAATTCATGAAATAGTGCTTAAAATAACCGAAATGTTGAGATATCGACGTACTTTTATATTAGTCGGTCATGATGTCAAAAGTTAAATCTGCTTGCATTAACTAATCTGATTACTTGGATTATAATTACTGAGTGTAGATTTATTGAAAATCGTTTTATCAATATGTGCCAAATTAGGTTTTAAAATTACAGAGGATTCTGTTCATGTTAGTTTGTGTATGATTTGTTGTCATTCGACTTGTAGTGCCACGTCATTGTTTGACTTTCTCTCTGTGTTCTTCCCGCTCATTCTCATATGTCTATCTGTTTTTGCTCGCCCTCGGACAAAGACCTTCGCCCCCTCGCCAATAACCAATAATAATACCAATAAATGTGTATTTACAATAATGGTTAAATTTTAATTTTTTACCACAGTGTACGCTCCTCTTGAATGAATTAATTGTTTCATTGTTAACAGCAGTATTAGTTATGTCATTTCGTGTAAATCTTGTTCTAATGCCATTTATTTAATATTGTTATTGTTCCCGTATTTTTCTACAATTTTGTATTCATTTATAATATGAGAGATACTTGTATCACTTGATGTAGAATGAAATGTCAGTATCATTCAACTGTAGTGTATATGTACGTTTTTAGTAAATTTTATGTGATTTCTCTAAAAAATAAACACGATTGTTTAATTACCTTCATTGTTTAGGATATTCTAAACTGAAGGATCACCAGTTATTCGTTCTATATAAAAGTAACTTACCTCAGTGACCTCTTTTGTACACACAATTTTTCCTAATCAAACTAATTTATCTCACCGGCTAGATGATCAGCAGAAATCCAGATAATTCATTCGTGCTTTCAATTTTTCAGAAGAAACGCACTCCTCTTCATTTAGCTGCAATTGGTATAGTTTCATTTAGGAATTCTACCCCAGTCCTAGAAACACTTCTGAAAGCTGGTGTCCACAAAGAACCACGTGACGAGGTGAGTTTGTCGTCACGCGATATAAATATTTTGATTTATAGAAATAACAATTTCGATTTTTAATTTTCATACCTATATATTGTACGCCCTCTTGTATATTTTGTACTATGTTAGTATCATTATTAGATGTACAGTAGTGCCATTTCGTGTAAACCTTGTACGAATATCATATTTTCGTAAGTATTGTTATTGTTTCCGTATTTTCTGCAATTCTGTATTTAGTTTAATATAATAGGTATTTGTATTACTTAGTAAGTTGTACACTGACAACATACCATTGTTCATAGCTTTTTGGTGAAATTATAATTTGCTACAATGCATAGTGGTTCCATACGATTCTACTTGCTTTATTATGAAAAAAATGACGCAAAATATGTTTACACTGAAGGAGATACTATCACTATGCTGGATTTTTTTATTCCGTAAATCCACTTCTTCAAAATTAGTGTTCTGTGAGAAATGACGAATTTAAGCTTGAATTTGTACTGTGAAAGTAATGGTACAGCATCCTACTACAGCCAGATCTGAAGGCCTTTGCCGCATTCTGGCCACGCTGTGTGGCGCGGATCGCGTGGACGGGTTTCATGTTCTCTGCACGTAACAAGCTCGGTTATTAAACATCCTTTTTTGGGGATGCCCGGTGGCCGAGGGGAAGACGTGTAGTGGCGTGAAGCTAGGCGATTAGGTGCCGTACACGAGCGCCGGTTCGAGTCAGGCACGCAGTACGTGTTTACTATAATTAGACGTAGTATTTACCTTGCCGTTTATTCGGTGTTATTTGCTTACTTAACATAGGTTATGCATGTGTTTTTTGTCAAGATAGGACTTCAGGCCTACTTGTAAATATATTATTGCTGCATCAATTTGGTATTTACTTTCCGTTATCAATATGCCATTTTGTCTTTCAGTTATATCGGACACCGCTTCATTTGGCTGCAGAAAATGGCTGCGAGTCTACAGTAGGAATACTCCTGAAAACAGGTGTGGAAAAAGATCCAGGTGATGAAGTAAGTGTAACATAGTAAACATAATTATCATTATCTTTTCCAACTTTCATGTATTGTTGTGAATTTTCTTATGTGCATGTGAACTAGCTGTTTTGAATACAAGCCAACCACTGCATGTGCGCATTAGACTGGTTTTGAAATCAATATATTTAGATTACTATAAATTATAATCCAATTTTCTCATCAACATTTGTATCAATTAAAATTATTACAAAAATTGAATGCCTTATTTTCCTAACAATTCATAATAAGATTACTGTACCAATGTGGATGTCTTGTGTGTACAATATATTTGGTTACACATTTCAGTTTAAGACAACACACATATTGCGTATTGCTATATACGCTATATATGCAGGTTATATCATATGGTGCGCATAAGGTTTACTTGTGAATATATTATTGCTGCAACAATTTGGTATTATCTTCTGTTATCAATATGCCCTTTTGTCTTTCAGTTTTATCGGACACCACTTCATTTGGCTGCAAAAAATGGATGTGATTCTACAGTAGAAATACTCCTGAAATCAGGTGTGGAAAAAGATCCAGGTGATGACGTAAGTGTAACATAGTAAACATAATTATCATTATCTTTTCCAACTTTCATGTATTGTTGTGAATTTTCTTATGTGCATGTGAACTAGCTGTTTTGAATACAAGCCAACCACTGCATGTGCGCATTAGACTGGTTTTGAAATCAATATATTTAGATTACTATAAATTATAATCCAATTTTCTCATCAACATTTGTATCAATTAAAATTATTACAAAAATTGAATGCCTTATTTTCCTAACAATTCATAATAAGATTACTGTACCAATGTGGATGTCTTGTGTGTACAATATATTTGGTTACACATTTCAGTTTAAGACAACACACATATTGCGTATTGCTATATACGCTATATATGCAGGTTATATCATATGGTGCGCATAAGGTTTACTTGTGAATATATTATTGCTGCAACAATTTGGTATTATCTTCTGTTATCAATATGCCCTTTTGTCTTTCAGTTTTATCGGACACCACTTCATTTGGCTGCAAAAAATGGATGTGATTCTACAGTAGAAATACTCCTGAAATCAGGTGTGGAAAAAGATCCAGGTGATGACGTAAGTGTAACATAGTAAACATAAACTAACATTATCTTTTCCAACTTTCATGTATTGTTGTGAATTTTCTTATGTGCATGTGAACTGGCTGTTTTGAATACAAGCCAACCACTGCATGTGCGCATTAGACTGGTTTTGAAATCAATTTAGATTACTAAAATTATAATCCAATTTTCTCATCAATATTTGTATCAATTAAAATTATTGGATAATTATTTTACCTCTGACATAATAGAATTGAGTCGACTATAATTATGGTTGTAGTCACTGGAATGTATTCGTTTTGTGACCATTGATTATTGTGACGTAAATATATGACCTATCTTGACCCTGTTTAGACCAGGTGAATATGAAGTTTTGTGTTCAAGCACACATTGTCAATGAGGCCAGCTCCATTGATATAGTAGGTTAATTGCAAGGTACATGGGAATATACTTATTTTTTATTTATTTTATGGCTTTGTATGACTGTGTCGGCACATTGGAGTGCTTTAACCATAAATGTCACACTACATCATGCGGTTCATCATTACGGTCTGCCGTTAGTATTTTGTTTGAATATGAATAAATGTAATTCTATATACTGTTGTGGCTTTTTAAAAATCAACGTTTTTAGATTACATAGAATAAGAATATTAACTAACGTACGCGATTGTCACATTGTATCGTTAAGATACGTAAGGGACAAATACAAATATTCAGACAGTTTCTCATAATAACTGAAGAATATTTCAAAATATAAATTAACAATGTATATTAGGTATTGAATGTTTTACTTTCCTAAAAGTCATAATAAAATTACTGTACCAATGTGGTGTCTTGTGTGTACAATATGTTTGGTTACACATTTCAGTTTAAGACAACACACATGATGCGTGTTGCTATATATGCATGTTCTATCATATGGTGCGCGTTTGTTCATTTGTTATCAATATGCACTTGGTCTTCCAGTTATATCGGACACCGCTTCATTATGCTGTAAATAATGGACGTGATTCTATAGTAGAATTACTCCTGAAAGCAGGTGTGGAAAAAGATCCACGTGATGAAGTAAGTGTAACAAAGTAAACATAACTAACATTATCTTTTACAACGTTCATGTATTGTTGTGAATTTTTTAATGTGCATGTGAACTGGCCGTTTTGAATACAAGACAACCACTGCATATGCGCATTAGACTGGTTTTGAAATCAATATATTCAGATTACTATAAATTGTAATCCATATTGTATCAATTAAAAAAAATATTTAACTTCTGACATTATAATATAGTTGAGCCGACTGTTTGACTGTTAATGTGAAAGTCACTGGAATTCATTTATACTTGACAAGGATTATTACTTATTTGATTTGTTTACTTATCATGACCATGCTTAGACTAGATAATTATGATGTTATGTGCCCGTGCCTACATTGCCATGAAGGCTGCTCCATTGATATAGTAGTTTCATTGTAAAGACCGTGGAAATTTATTTTTATTTATTTTCATGCTTTGTTTGCATCTGTGTAGGCATTTGCTGCATCAATTTATAAGTGCATCATTATAACTTTTGCCTTTCAGACACATAAGACACCGCTTCATTTGGCTGCAGAAAATGGACATGATTCTACAGTTCAAATACTCCTGAGAGCAGATGTGAAAAAAGAACCACGTGATAAGGTGGGTGTAATAGGGTAAACATTATCTTTTGTAAAGTTTATGTATTGCTCTGCATGTGAACTGACTGTTTTGAATACGGTACCGGTTTTGAAATCAATATATTTAGATTGCGATAAATTATTATCCGATTTCCTCAACATCCAGTATCAAATAAGACTATTAAAGCAATTTAAAATCCTTGGTATGGTGGTAGTGGTGCTGGGGTTTAGACATTTCCCTAACAAAAATGACAATGGAAATGTGATTCAAACATCGGAGCTTATTCGTCAACAACTTTTAATTGATTAGCATAATCACCGGAGTGATTCCGCTCCGGTGTTCACTACAACGCAGAGGGTCGCCTGCAGATGCGTCTAGTCGGGATTTCTTTCGCGGGCACGCTAGTTTTCGCGATCACGCTAAATAGGCTAAAATGTCAATTAATTATTTTTTTTGTTAAAACAAAACGGAAGTTCCGACATTGCCAGTCTAATGAATTACGTAAACAACAAAATACACGCTTGATACAGTTCTTCCCAGCAAAATCGACCGTACCTGCAAAGTTTTGACATTAAACGCGACCCTCGCCACGCACCTGACGCAACTTTTCTATTCTTAAGAGGTGGGTTACGAAATTTTGCACTTTAGATACCACTGCAAGATAGGGAATGATTCTACGACCAGGGAGAAGCGGCATTCCCTATTCGTCACATATATCAGTGATACGCACTCGTAAAACATTACATAAATAAACTGGCTAGGAAAAGAACAATTCTAGAAATTATAGTATAATAACTCAAAACCCAGGACTAACTAGTTTGTGTGTATGAATGTTCGTTACATGACGCACGGTTACTAATTTTTTAGTAACCAAGCATAACGTTTTCCGACACGTGTCGAAAAGTATCAGTCGGCGGCGTCGCCCGGTGAATTTTAAGTAGCCAGCGACCGGGGTTGCTGTCTTCACGTCCATAGCGCAAGGGGCTCCCTTCCAGGTTGGCATTCGGACGAATGTTAAACGCCGGGTTCGACTGTGGTCGTACTGCTCGTCAGCATTCAGGGTCGTGCAAAGTGTAGACCCCCTTTATTGAACAAGATTTCGAGCAGCAACGACCCTGAACTCAGTTTTAAAATAGTATAACGTCACACAGCTAATTTTGTCTATCGTTAATTGGCCCGCGGCACTTGTTCATTCACCATACGGATACTCGTACAGTTTTTCCCAAGGGTCACATCGAGGTCACATAACAATTCGTACTTTCTATTCGAGTAGTGTCAAATGCGTCTACCGACTGGGCGCATAATAGCAATTGTGTCTTTTTTAGCAATACACCTCATGACATTGACTTTACCCAGACCAGGTTATATGTTGAAGCATACTTTTTCTCGAGGACTGCTCTATTGATATGACAATTTCGCGAGGAATGCTTCATTGATATGACAATTTCATTGCAAGAATTATTAATTTTTTTATTATTACTTTTCTGGATATTTCTGAATGTGTGAATAGTACAGTCGCATTTGAACACTAACAGATATTGAGTTCATAGAGCGCAAAAAATTGTTCATTACCATTCCAGGTTGTTATCTGTTATTAAATGAATACAACTAGCAAGGAATGATGTATTGTTATAAGGTTATTACAGGAATGACGCAAAATATGCACTCAGGTTTTAAATTCAATTAAAAACGTGGGCTTTTATATACTTGTGAAAAAATGGTGTTTGACGTTCGGCGGTTTGGAGAGTTTAAATAATATCTGAAATAAAATAATTTCCAAAAATAATTCATGAAATAGTGCTTAAAACAACCGAAATGTTGAGATATCGACGTACTTTTATATTAGTCAGTCATGATGTAAAAACATAAATTTGCTTGCATTAACTAATCTGATTACTTGGATTATAATTACTGAGTGTAGATTTATTGAAAATCGTTTTATAAATATGTGCCAAATTAGGTTTTAAAATTACAGAGGATTCTGTTCATGTGCGTTTGGTTAGTTTGTGTATGATTTGTTGTCATTCGACTTGTAGTGCCACGTCATTTTTTGACTTTCTCTCTGTGTTCTTCCCGCTCATTCTCATAAGTCTATCTGTTTTTGCTCGCCCTCGGACAAAGACCTTCGCCCCCCTCGCCAATAACCAATAATAATACCAATAAATGTGTATTTACAATGATGGTTAAATTTTAATTTTTTACCACAGTGTACGCTCCTCTTGAATGAATTAATTGTTTCATTGTTAACAGCAGTATTACAGTTATGTCATTTCGTGTAAATCTTGTTCTAATGCCATTTATTTAATATTGTTATTGTTCCCGTATTTTTCTACAATTTTGTATTCATTTATAATATGAGAGATACTTGTATCACTTGATGTAGAATGAAATGTCAGTATCATTCAACTGTAGTGCATATGTAAGTTTTTACTAAATTTGGTGTGATTTCTCTAAAAAATAAACACGATTGTTTAATTACCTTCATTGTTTAGGCTTTTCTAAACTGAAGGATCACCATTTATTCGTTCTATATAAAAGTAACTTACCTCAGTGACCTCTTTTGTACACACAATTTTTCCTAATCAAACTAATTTACCTCACCGGCTAGATGATCAGCAGAAATCCAGATAATTCATTCGTGCTTTCAATTTTTCAGAAGAAACGCACTCCTTTTCATTTAGCTGCAACTGGTAAATATTCATTTATGAATTATACCCCAGTCCTAGAAACACTTCTGAAAGCTGGTGTCTCCAAAGAACCACGTGACGAGGTGAGTTTGTCGTCACGCGATATAAATATTTTGATTTATAGAAATAACAATTTCGATTTTTAATTTTCATACCTATATATTGTACGCCCTCTTGTATATTTTGTACTATGTTAGTATCATTATTAGATGTACAGTAGTGCCATTTCGTGTAAACCTTGTACGAATATCATATTTTCGTAAGTATTGTTATTGTTTCCGTATTGTTCTGCAATTCTGTATTTAGTTTAATATAATAGGTATTTGTATTACTTAGTAAGTTGTACACTGACAACATACCATTGTTCATAGCTTTTTGGTGAAATTATAATTTGCTACAATGCATAGTGGTTCCATACGATTCTACTTGCTTTATTATGAAAAAAATGACGCAAAATATGTTTACACTGAAGGTGATACTATCACTATGCTTGATTTTTTTATTCCGTAAATCCACTTCTTCAAAATTAGTGTTCTGTGAGAAATGACGAATTTAAGCTTGAATTTGTACTGTGAAAGTAATGGTACAGCATCCTACTACAGCCAGATCTGAAGGCCTTTGCCGCATTCTGGCCACGCTGTGTGGCGCGGATCGCGTGGACGGGTTTTATGTTCTCTGCACGTAACAAGCTCGGTTATTAAGCATCCTTTTTTGGGGATGCCCGGTGGCCGAGGGGAAGACGTGTAGCGGCGTGAAGCTAGGCGATTAGGTGCCGTACACGAGCGCCGGTTCGAGTCACGCACGCAGTACGTGTTTACTATAATTAGACGTAGTATTTACCTTGCCGTTTATTCGGTGTTATTTGCTTACTTAACATAGGTTATGCATGTGTTTTTTGTCAAGATGGGACTTCAGGCTTACTTGTAAATATTATTGCTGCATCAATTTGGTATTTACCTTCCGTTATCAATATGCCATTTTGTCTTTCAGTTATATCGGACACCGCTTCATTTGGCTGCAGAAAATGGATGCGAGTCTACAGTAGGAATACTCCTGAAAACAGGTGTGGAAAAAGATCCACGTGATGAAGTAAGTGTAACAAAGTAAACATAACTAACATTATCTTTTACAACTTTCATGTATTGTGAATTTTCTAATGTGCATGTGAACTGGCTGTTTTGAATACAAGACAACCACTGCATATGCGCATTAGACTGGTTTTGAAATCAATATATTTAGATTACTATAAATTGTAATCCACATTGTATCAATTAAAATTAAAAAAATGTTTTTTACTTCTGACATAATATAATTGAGCCGACTGTTTGACTGTTAATGTCAAAGTCACTAGAATTGATTTATACTTGACAAGGATTATTACTTATTTGATTTGTTTACTTATCATGACCGTGCTTAGACTAGATAATTATGATGTTATGTGCCCATGCCCACATTGCCATGAAGCCTGCTCCATTGATATAATAGTTTCATTGTAAAGACCGTGGAAATCTATTTTTATTTATTTTCATGCTTTGTTTCTATCTGTGTAAGCATTTGCTGCATCGATTTGCATTTAACTTCTGTCATCATTATAACTTTTGCCTTTCAGACACATAAGACACCGCTTCATTTGGCTGCAGAATATGGACGTGATTCTACAGTTCAAATACTCCTGAAAGCAGATGTGAAAAAGACCACTTGATA